TGTATAATTGTTAATTAGTTAAATTAGAAGACCCAATAAACACTCAAAACCACAGTATCTTTTTTGCCAAATAATGTTTAGAGAAGACATTCTTCCTTTGACAAATTTCTGAGTCCCCAGTTTAGCACATCGTGGCCACCCTGACTATTTACTATTGTATAAATGAAAGAGCACTATCAGTAAAGTAAAGCAAACTAAATAGACATATAAACTGACTACAAATCTATTCTGCTCTTCAGAGAAATAAGTAAGCTGGGCTGGCAAGATTATTCAGCAGCTAAAGGCACTTATCCCAAAGCAAGACACCTCAGATTGATCCCAGAAACACATAAGAGAGATAATATGGGAATATTGGAGTGTAAATGGAAGCTTTTCTTTCCTGCCTGGTCCTGCAGCTGTTATTAAACTAATCACACAGAGGCTTAGTTTTAGTTACAAATTATTTGGCCTATTGTTCAGGCTTATTATTACTAGCTCTTACAACTTAAATTAACCCATTCTTATTCAGCTATATTTTGTCACGTGACTTCATGGTGTTACCTGTTTTCTAGTACATCTTGTTGCTCCTGCAACTTACTGGCATCTGCCCTGACTTCTCCCTTCTTCTCTGTGTATCTCTTCTTGGATTTCCCCCTGGCTATAACCAGCCTTGCTATAGCCCAAAACACCTTATTTATTAACCAATGGGAATGAAACATTCACAGCATACAAAAGAGTTATCATCCCACAGCATTGGAGTATCTTTGAGAATGACAACTCTCTCTGTGTACTTGGGCATCCAGGGTCCTGGAAAACTTGATGGCCACAAAAGCTACCCAAAACCAGTAGCATTGTAGATCTTATCTTGTGGCTGAGTTTTAGAGATTAGCTTATTATAGATTCAAAGGTGGAGCTTAAGAGAGGGAAAGACAGTCATGCCATCTGAGTTAGGCATGAAGATTGGCCATGTTGAACATGCAGTTTGTAGCTAAAAGAAGATAAGGACTTCAGAACACTAGAGAAAGTATACTTATGTTTTGGTCACCACCCAAAAGAGACTAGAAAAAGCAGTAGACAGATCTAATAGAACATCATGACATCTTGTAGTGACTTCACAGAAGGCAGGAATTCTGGGGGGAAAAAAAGGTCCATTATCTCATGGAGAGAGTAATTAGTCCTCCTATCTCATTTACATCATTTAAGGAGCACTTACCTTCCTGGAAACTGATTTGTCCAACTGCTTTGATTCTTAGGGGAGGAGACAATAGCATGTCACCACCTGCAGGTGGATTCTATTCTCTATCATGACAAGGGAACTGACTCTTGAAATTGTCCTCTGACCTCTACATGTTACACACATAGACACATATATACACACATACACACACATAAACACACATACACACACAAATACAGACACAGAGAGAGATAAGTAAACATCATTCACTTCAAATTTAATCTCAAATTATATACAAAATTTTCTTCTTGTTTACTTACTGTTCTTTTGTCAGTCTTTGGAATTTCTACTAAGTCTACCCTATTTTAATTCCATAATGACTTTTCTTCATTTGTTTACATTTAAATTTTTAATATCTTGTAGAATTAACAAGTGAATTCCAACAGTGGCTTTCTAAATATTTAGATAACTCACTTTAAATGGGATCCCAAATAATAAAAAAGCTACTTTGTCCAAGCAGATCTGTTGGACACGGGCAATCACTGTTCTCTTATAAACAAAATAAAAGAGATGTTTATGAGGAAGTGTGTTTATTATTCCACATATATTCTTCAAAATCTTTTGGATTATTTGCAATTTTCTAGGGATACTTTTGAAAAAGCTGCAAGAATGTGAATGTTGGTATTTTAAGTGTTTTCCATTTGCACAGGAGACAGAGCAGCCTTTCTTAGAACAGCAGGGAAGAATGGCTGGGGGACTGAATTGGAGCCTGGAGCTGTATGGAGAAATGTTGGTGATAAAAGAGACCAATGCAAAGGTTAGAGCGAGGAAGCACAGAATAACAGTGTCATCAGCTCTTGTCTACACTACTTTATCATGCAAACCGTGAATATACAAACGTGTAGAATAAAACCCAAGCCAAAGATTGAACAAAGACATCAGTGGTGAAGAATTGTCTGTAAACATTACACAATCTGAAAATAATCTATTCACATTGACCATGACAAATTATCCCCAGTGCCAGTACATGTGTGACACATAAATGCTGTGTGTCATATATTAAAACTACTCTAAACAGTCAAGTGTTTTATGTGGGTTTGATGTCATAATTAACTCTATTGCATAATTGTCAGTGAACTACAAACACTTTTCTTCTAATAAATTCAAGACTAGAGGTGTAGCTCAGTAATAGAATACCACCTACTATTTACAAGCTGCGGTCCCCTGCTCCTTCTCCAGCATAACACAAACACAAAAGAAAAAGGAAAAAAGGGAAAGACATCTACCAATAGGAGAGGAGGAGGGGAGGGAAAGAGAAGGGAAAGTGGGGGAGACGGGTGGGGCATAGCATAAACAAATGAGGATAGGCTAGAAGGAAGATTGGGACAGTCAACAGGATGGGAGAAAGCTGCATCTAAACAAAGATTCAGCAGAGTCCCCAGTGGTAGAAGTAATCTCAGAGAAGAGGCACCTATAAGCAGACTTCTACTAGGCTGGAGTGAGATAGGAGAGATTGTAGTGGAGGAAAGGAGCGAAGGGAAAATCATATACTTGATTCAAGGACCAGTATAGTCACTGGGGGTACCAGGTATAAAGCTGGCATTTTTATCTTACTGGGGCTTGTATATTGGTGTTTCCTGTTTTCCTGATCTGCATTTTTATGGATTGCTAGAGAGAGGGGGGGAGAACAGGGGAGAGAGAGAGAGAGAGAGAGAGAGAGAGAGAGAGAGAGAGAGAGAGAGAGTTTTTCTTGTGTTTTTCCTTTCTTGGTTTTGGTTTTAGTTCTGCTTTATTTGATATTTTTATTTTTGTTTTTTAAAGAGAGAAAGTGTCGTAAAACTGCCTGAGAGGGACCCTGATGTGTCCCATGGAGGATGAGGACAGTGAAAAGGAGACAAATATACCATGTAGACAGAATTTGAGTGTGGAATTTATTGAGAGAAGAGGAGGGGAGGAGGAGGGAAAAGAGAGAGGGAGAGTGGGAAAGAGAAGAGAAGAGAAGCCAAGAGAGGAAAACCGAAGAGAAGAGAATGGAAGAGAAGAGAGGAGAAGGAGGAGGAGGAGGAAAAGGAGGAGGAAGAAGAGGAGGAGGAAGAGGAGGGTAAGTCTTGCCTGTCCCTTCAGAGGAACAGTGGGGTAGATAGACTGGGAGTGGGCAGAGTTTATACAAACTAGGGCCCTGGGCTGGTCAGGGTACTGCCAACATAATGCCTGAATCCTAAGAGAAAGAGATGTCAAACTGGGGAGGTGGAGAGAACCTGGGAGGAGTTGGGGGAGGAGTAGACATGATCCTGTGAATATTTTGTTTTTCATAAAATATTAAATGTATTTATAATATTGACAAAATGGAAAGTGGAAGAAAAAAATCAAACTATGAGAAATCAAGAGTTTTAGCCTGGATTTAATTACTTTATGGGTATCTCTACTGTATGACTATAATATCTATCTATCATCTATCTATCTATCTATCTATCTATCTATCTATCTATCTATCTATCTATCTATCAATCTATATTACATCCTAGCTGCAATTTCCCCTTCATCCTCACCTCCCAGTCCCTTTGCCAAATCCCCTTAATTCTCTTCTCCATTTCTGTTTATGAGAGGACAGGTCTCCCATAAGTATCAATAAAACACGGAATATCAAGCAGCAGTAAGACTAAGCACCTTCCAATAAAATCCACGGAATCAACTAACCTGGAATCACACAAATAAAAAGGTTCTAAATCACAAGATAGTATATGTAGAATGAGCCCAAAGGAATGGGAGGGGGCACAGTCTGGATGGGATTGGGGACTCATCTTTAATTCCAGCACTAGGGAGAATGCAGGACAGATCTCTGGTTTCAAGGTCATCCTGGTCTATGGAGAGAGTACAGGACAGCCAAGGTTAAACACACACACACACACACAAACCATAAATAAATAAGTAAATAAATAAATAAACAAACAAACAAATGAAACAGAAATGATATTGGTTTACCTTAGAGCCTGTCAGTATATTACAGTCCATATCAATATATGCACATAAAATACAGTATAGGCCAACAGGAACTCTGTGACTTGACCAAGTGTATAGCATTCATAGTGGTATTATCCTGGCTTATTCAAGCTATTACAAGTGTAAAAGGAAGACAGGGAAATGTTTTAGAGAAACGGGCTTGAGGGAATTGATGCCCTGGATCTGGCTCTGAGATGGAAGAAATGTGTACAGCGGCCAGAAAGAGTTCTATGGGTGGCTGAATTTCTATGACGTAGATATGCCTCAGCATCATGCACTGTAAGTTCCAGAAAGTTCTCATGACTAAGAAGATTCATGACAATAAAGCAAATAGACTGATGGGTGAATAACATTTGGCTAATATAAGTTGTTCTTATAAAAATTATGAAAATATTCCTAATTAGAGAATAGCTTCATTATTTATGGACCACAGAATGAAAGATGTGGGTGATTATTGTGCATCTGATGAGTTTTGATTAACCACTTAAATTCTCAGGAATTTAGCATATGAATAGTTTTGGATTTTTACATACATAGCTCCTTCTTTTATATATTTGTGGCTTTTCAAAGATTAACAATGATGATTATATCTAAAGTAAATCATTTACTCCTAAATATTTACATATGAATTTCATATCTATAACATCTCAATGGAGTAATGTGGTCTAATGTTCTTTTAAGAAATCCATAAATGTAAAGAGAGAGCTATCATTGTACACAAAGCCTTTTTTTAGAAGAATTAGTGAGAAGAAGTCTGAGAGACAGGTGATTATCAGGGGCTGTGTCTAATTTACTATGGAGCTGAGGATGACCTTGAACCTCTGATTCTCCTTCTACTTCTTAGGTGCTGAAATGACTGGCGTGCTCCACTATGCCTGCTTCATGTAATGCTGAAGATAGGATACAGGTTTTCACTGATGCTGTGCAAATACTCTCTCTGCTCAATTATATTTGGAGAACTTAATGGGAAGTCAGCAGATTTTCGGTCAGAGAAGGTATCACCAGAACTCAGCCTGGCTCTCACCATGATCTCAGATTTTCTGAACAACGGGAGACATCTTTCAGTTGTTCTTCAGAAACACTGCCCATGAAACTTTGCCTTAGTATCCTAAACTAAGCCACTGGGAATTTCCAAGACATGTTACATTTTTGAATGTTTTATAAGTGAAACTTAGACATTTTACATTTTAGTTGCTTTGTGTTGCTGATTCTGGGAATCTCAATGTACAATGCCACTCAATCCTTTAGTTATCAATTGAGTAAAGAAAGTAAGCATTATTATATAAAACTATGTTCCTTATTACTTAAGGAATGTAATCACTTAAATGTTTGCCAAAGTTTTCTTTAAAATAAATGTAAGCTAGGAAATCACAGCAGTTTCTACACACTATAGTATTGAGAATCTCCCTTTTTTTTGTTCAGATTTATTTCTATTTTCTTTATTGAAAAAATTTCCACCTCCTCCCCTTCTCCCATTTCCCTTCCCCTTCCCCCNGGGCTGTGTCCCCGGCACCTGGCCACCCGCATGGCTAGGTTATGCCCAGAAATAATTACACAGAAACTGTATTTTTTTAAACACTGCCTGACCAATTAGTTCCAGCCTCTTATTGGCTAGCTCTTACCTATTGTTCTAACCCATTTCTAATATTCTGTGTAGCCCACGAGGTGGCTTACCAAGGAGGATCTTAACCTGCATCTGTCTGGAGTGGGAGAATCATGGTGACTCCTTGATTCAGCTTCTTTCTCCCAGAATTCTCTTCTGTTTACTCCACCCACCTAAGGGTTGGCCTATCAAGGGGCCTAGGCAGTTTCTTTATTAATAAGAAATCACTCCCACATCATCCCCCCACTCCTCTTCCCCTCTCCCTATTACTTTCACCTTTCCTTCCCAGTCCAAAGAGCAGTCAGGGTTCCCTGCCCTGTGGGAAGTCCAAGGACCATCCACCTCCATCCAGGTATAGGAAGGTGAGCATCCAAACAGGCTGGTCTCCCACAAAGCCAGAACATGAAGTAGGATCAAAACCCCATGCCATTGTCCTTGGCTTCTCATCAGCCCTCATTGTCCGCCATGTTCAGAGAGTACGGTTTTATCCCATGCTTTTTCAGTCACAGTCCAGCTGGCCTTGGTGAGCTCACAATAGATCAGCCCCACTGTCTCAGTGGGTGGGTGCACCCCTCATGGTCCTGACATCCTTGCTCGTGTTCTCCCTCCTTCTGCTCCGCATTTGGACCCTTTCTGAAAGAAGTTGTTCCCTCATATACCAGATCTAGAGGAAACAACAAAAAAAGAGGAGAATAGAGATAGCATTGTTAACCATAATTGCTGAAAACACGAAGATAATGCTTTTAAACATAAAAATCTTTCATTTTCACTGAAATTATTTGATATTTGTCAAAAACTTTGATCAGTATAGCATAGCCATAGCTCACACTCTTATATTTAAAGATGAAAATGCTATTTAAAAAATCAAACCACTGTTTCAGGTATATAAATAACTTTCTAAATTCCAAGATTCTAAAGGAATATCAAGAAGCTATATAACAGCAAGATTTAAAATACGAGCTCCTACTACATTGATATAAATGGAAAAACACCTAGCTTATCATTAGATTTATGGGGCTTTTGTCAAGGAACTGTAACTACTTTAAAACTATGAAAAATAATCAAAACTCTTCAAAATGTCAATGAAAACAAGTTTCTTGATTAAAACATTAACTTTACTACCAACAAAAATCTATTTTGGTAGTGACAACTTTAAGTACATATTTTAATATGTTACTTATGAAAATACAAATTAAGACATGAAAAACTAGTTTTAGCCATACATAAGACTTTCATTCTCAGAGTTTAACATACACACATCGTGTAAATATGCTGAGTTTAATAATAATTAACACTAGTTTATAATTTTGTATAAGGATTGCACATAGTCATTTAAAGATTCTGTATTTCAAAACTTGAAAAAATACAGTCTTCTAGAAATTTAAAAATTGGATATGAGATTAATGTTATTGTTAATATAAAATATTTTGCATTTGGTCTTTAATATTTTAATGTTTTCATTGATTCATTGAGAACTTCATACAATTTATTGTGATAATTTTCATAACTTCTCCGTTTTTCATAACTTCTCCCAGGTCATCCACTCCACTGCTTTTTCCACCTGCTCATCTTTGTTCTCATTTTCTCTTGTTCTTGCTTTCTTCATTTAATCCAAGAGAACCATTAGGGAAAAAAAAATCAATATTACCAAAACTGTTTTCTGTATTACTTTTTATTTCTAAATTACATCGCAAGTTTAAAGGAATCAACATTGCAGCTACTTTTTTAAAAGGAGATCTATTTTGTAAATAACTGATAACAAAGAATGTTGAAGGTATTTGCATGGTAGAAAAACAGTTGTTAAAGTTTAACTGAATTTAACTTATGTATAAAATGACACACATTTTTGACAAAAAAATGGACATGGGTCAATAAAAAGGCATTAGTGAAATTACTGCATCTTAAGTATAAAGAAACACTATATTTAATGAAAAAATAGTTAAGCAACTTTTGATGTGTATTCTCTATAATAATAGCCAATACAAAGAGTAACCTGCAATTTCTCAGGAAAGATATTTTGACTCATATTTGACACAGTCAAGCTGTACAAACATGGTGACATTTTAAAATTAAGCTTTCAAATACAAATAATAGAAAAAGAGTACAACTTAAATGAATTCGAACACTGGAGAGATTTAGCCGAAGTGTTTTCTGATTAGAAATGATCAATCTTGATTTAAACTGCCTCCAACTCCATTTTCAAAGATTTTCTGGGCTCTCCCCTCTGTGTGTTTGCAATATCCACAGGTTCGTCGATGAGAGGTACAAAACTTCTAAACTTTATTTTCATATACTATTTTTTGCAGAAAAGTGACTTTGAAATTATTAATAAAATGGAGATCATTATTTTGAGTGATAAATATTGTTCACAAAATTTTGCATTCACATTTTGTGAAAGTATGTATTTTATTCATTCATTTAATTCTTAGCTTTTATTTTCTTCTAAGACAATCTTTAGAAAAAAATCTTACCAATTTTAACATCTGAGTAAAACTATGTACAACCTGGTTCAGTCCTAGGTTCTAGAAGCAACCACCAGCAAAATGATGGAATTATGGCTATAAAAATCAACATGACCCTTGTGACAGTTTTGATTCAGGATGAGGGGTTATTGACACTGAGGTGACTTATGAGCATATCTATGGGGAATTGTCTTAATTAATTGGTGTGAAAAGAACCAACTTCTTGATGTGGTACCATTCTCTAGATAAGGGTTACTGAACCATGAATTAATGGAGAAGCGATCTGGACACAAGTGATGAGCCTGTGTAGGCAATTATCTCTCAGGTCTAAGACTAATGTGAATAGCAGCTTCAATTTCTTGCCTTGATTTCCCTGCAATGGAGGCCTATAGCCTGAAATTATAAACCAAAGAACCCTTGTTCCCTTACGTTGCATTTTGCCCATAATTTACCCCAGCAATTGATTGGAGACCAGGACAGAAATTTGCACTGAGGCATGGGGCTATTGTGATAAACCTTGCGATGTGCCATTCATGTCTTTGGTTATTTGTAAAAAGGATGTGGAAAAGCTTTGAATTTTAAGCTGGAAATGCCACTGAGTGCTGAAGACATTGACTGCTCTTGCAGAAGTTTGGAAGATAGGAAAGCTGAGAAAAACGTGGTCTGTGGAGGCCTACTAAGATTTTAGAGGGGAATGATGAAATTATTAGGAAGTAGGATAGGGAATCATTCGTGCGATGGTTGGTAAAGAATCTGGCTTTATTCTGTCTGTGTACTGAGAAGTAGAGTGGAGTCCAGTTGTTAACTGATGATCTGGTGTCACTGACTGGAGAGATTTCAGGATGGGAGAGTGTTCAGTTTCATGATGAAGAAGATGCAACTGAAAGAGAAATCAACATCAGTGAAATGAAGCCTTGTGTGCTGTAGGGAAATGAAATGATGATATCCTAAGTGCAACACACCATCCCACTGCTAATTCCTACAGTGGAGATCCTAAGACGAAGAGGTTCTGTGATCCACAAGAGCAACTGCCTTGGAAAGTGTTTCCTCACTTTCAAACACAAAAGTTGGTACAGCTGTGGCCCAGAAAAGCTGGGTTACATCTCAAAGTGGCAAAAGGGTTTAGCAATGTACATTGTCAATACGTTATTGTTTTTGAGCGCACCAAAGATGGATGCTTGTGGGGAGAATGCACTATGTGGTAGAAGTGAATTTCTACAGTAAGTCCACCAAAAACCATTTTGTGAAGCTATGATGATGAAGCTTCAGTTTCTGTAAAGACTGTAGAATATTGAAGGTACTGGCTACATAACCAATATGCCAAAGTGAACCCCAGGTGTGGAGTAACATCAACATTAGCCCAATAAAGAAGCTGAGCGTGCTGTATGTGCTAGAGCTTGAAAAGGGGATTGCCAATCCCTTCTGAGTCCACAAGAGCCTCTAACACTTGACATTGAGAAACAGGATTCAGTGTTTACTCATGGATTTTGGTTTGGTTGTGCACTAATTATTCATTGTAAAGTCTTTATCCTGTTTTAAATAAGAATGTCACTCTATTTTTGTCAAATATTAGAAGTATAACAATTATTTTATTTTTGTAAGTCTACCACAACTAAGAGATTTTGGACTAAAAACCCTTTTTTATTTTATGTGAGTGCATGTTTTGACTTCATATATTTATATACACTATGTGCTTGTCTGCTTCCTAAGAAGGTCAAAATAAGGCATTGAATTCCCTGGAACTGCTGGTGGCTGTAAAATCCCATATGGATGCCTGGAATTGAACATGAGTCTTCTGAGGGATTAAAAAGCACTCTTCCCCACTGAGTCATCTCCCATGCCTGACTTTAGACTTCGAGAGTATTAAACTTTTAAAGCTGAACCATATTATTTATCTTATGAGGTAAACTTAGGACTTAATGGACATGAATGGAAGGTTATGGTTGTAAAGTGATGGGTTTGTATATCAGGATCTAGTATAATGCTTATGTTTGTTAACTTGATACTAGCTAGAGTCACCTGGATAGTTAGTCTCAATGAGGAATTATCCTGAATTGATTTGGCTTGTGGGAATGTCTGTGGGGAATTGTCTCATTTAATAAAACTGATGTGGGCAAATTCAGACTAGCGTGAGTTGTGCCATTCTTTCGTCAATGGAATTCAGAACTATGGGAAAGTGGAGAAATAAAGTTAAGCACAAATGAATGAGTAAGTATGTCACACTTCTTATCTCACTGTTCTTAGAGATGCCTGATGCTGCTACCTGTCTGGAGTTCCTGTCTCGATGTCATTGTAAGGACAGGTAGCAGTCTAAACATTAGAAATAGTCAGTTGAACCCCTTTTCAGTTGAATCTCTACTGCTATGAGTTTTTTCTAGAATTACAATTTTGTTTTGTGAAAGTTTTGTAAATATTTTGTAAAT